GGGGACCCTTGGTGGCACCCAGGGATACCCAGGGGCACCCAGGGGCACTGCAGACCTGAGCAGCTGGTGATTTTTCTTGTGAAATAAGTTTTAAAAAAAATTGTTGGTGCCCAAGGCACTTGTACCAATCCCCTGGCCATGCACATGCACACAGAATCTATGCATTTATATATACATGTATATATATCTATCTTTATATATTTGGTTTTTTGCAACCAAACCTGAGCCTTTTAAAACAGAAAAAAAAAAAAGTGATATTTGAGGAACCTGTATCTTTTCAAAGACTGCTGAAAATCCTAGAAAATTTCAAGGAAGGGGTGGAGAGAGGTTGGAGATAGCCAAAAGCCTCAGCCCTGGGTCCAAAAGCAACTTTTTCCTGTAAAAAAAAAAGAAGAAACCAGGCTGCTGGAAACATTGCACAGTGCTGCTGCCTGTCCAGCAATGTGGGGACGGGAAGGTGCTTTTCCAGCCGGTATGATTCCGGGCCTGATGTCAGCTCTGCGTTACAGGTACCACCATGGATGCATGGAGCCGTGGTGATGCCCTGTGCCCCGTGAGGATGCCCTGCGCCCCATGGGAATGCTCTGCGCCCCATGGAAATGCCCTGTGCCCTGTGGGAATGCCCTGTGCCCCATGGGGCTGCCCTGAGCCCTGTGGGGACCTGCCACCCTGCCTGCCAGTCCTGCTCCTGGGGCGTGGGGGCTGTCACAGCCCCGTGCTAGCAGCGTGGTGGGGATGGAGGTGCTGAGCCGCAGCTGGGACATCACCCTGAGGACGATGCAGTGAGTGCCCTGGCAGGTAATCTCCATTTTCCCCAAGCTCACTTGTGGGTGTTTTTCCATTGCATGGCCAAAGCTGCTTTTAAGGTGTTGCCTGTCCCACAGTGGGCTCCGAGGGTCCATCATGAGCCCTGCGGCAGCTGGGTTGCGGGGAGAAGGGGGGCTGCGGGGAGAAGGCAGGCTGCGAAGCTGGCTGCAAAGGCAGGGATAATTCTGACCCCAGCGGAACTTGTGATGGCAGCACAGGATGCTTTGTCCCTCTGCCAGCCCATCTGTGTGCTGCACGTTGCATCGTCCTGTGCCTCAGTTTCCCCGTGTCAGGGCGCAGTGATGGCACCTTCCTCTGCTTGCCCTAGGGGTGATGAAGCTGTGGACAGGGCAGTCTCTCCCTCTCCAGCCCCGAGCCCACAGCCAGGGCACGTTGGTGTGGGCTGTGTCCGGGGCAGGGTGGCCAGGGCTGTGCATGGGTGGCCAAACTGCACCAGACCAGGGATGCTGCGTCCCTGGGGCAGGGCACAGCGGGGGCCGAGCACACAGCGGGGGGTTTGCTGGTAGCAGCCAGGTGTTGCTCTTGCTCCCAGAGCAGCATCCCAGGGCCAGGGCATATCCAGGCTCTGCGCAGCCCCAGTCCCAGTGTGGTGCAGGGTGTCAGGGCTCTGTGGGGTTTCATGGCCAGGGGCACTTGTGGCTGAGGGGGGGGGCTTGTGTCCAGCTTGGCTTCCCTGGGATGCAGGCCTCTCAAAATCCTGTTATATCCAGCACTGAAATCCCTCTCTGCCCTTCCCAGGTACTGAGGGCAGGGCTGTCTGTGACCCCCAAGAGAGGGTGCAGGGGTGGAGGGATATGGGGATAGAGGGATGTGGGGATAGAGGGATGGAGAGTTGAAGAGGGGAAGGGATGTGGGGATGAAGAAGGGAAGGGATGCAGGGGTGGCGGGATGTGGGGATGCAGGGATGTGGGGATAGAGGGATGCCGGGATGAAGATGGGAAGGGATGCAGGGATGAAGAGGGGAAGGGATGTGGGGATGAAGATGGGAAAGGATGTGGGAATGAAGACAGGAAGGGATGCAGGGATGAAGATGGGAACGGATGCAGGGGCAAAGGGATGCAGGCGTGGAGGGACGTGGGGGTGCAGGGATGAAGAACGGCGGGGATGCAGGGATGTGGGGACACGGGGATCAGATCCGGCTCTGAGGCACCATGGAGCCCCTCACCCCACACCGAGCGCCCGTACCGGCTGCTCCTGGCCGTGCCG